GAAGAAAATTTCTGAGGATATAATTGTGTATTTTTAAAGAAAGTTTCTGAGTCTATAATCGTGGATTATTAAAACAATTTTCTGAGGCTATTAGCGTGGATTTTCAAGAAAAATTTTTAAGAAATATTCTGAGCTTATAATCGTGGAATTTGCAAGAAAATTTCTGAAGAAATAATCGTGGATTTTTATAGAAAATCTCTGAGGCAATAATCGTGGATTTTTATAGAAAATTTCTGAGGCAATAACCGAAGATTTTTAAAGAAAATGTCTGAGGCAATAATCGTGGATTTTTAAAGAAAATGTCTGAGGCAATAACCGAAGATTTTTAAAGAAAATCTCTGAGGCAATAATCGTGGATTTTTTAAAGAAATTTTTTGAGGCAATAATCGTGGATTTTTAAAGAAAATTTCTGAGGCAATAATCGTGGATTTTTAAAGACAATTTCTGAGGCAATAATCGTGGATTTTTAAAGAAAATTTCTGAGGCTATAATCGTGGATTTTTAAAGAAAATTTCTGAGGCAATAATCGTGGATTTTTAAAGAAAATTTCTGAGGCAATAATCGTGGATTTTTAAAGAAAATTTCTGAGGCAATAATCGTAGATTTTTAAAGAAAATTTCTGAGACAATAATCGTGGATTTTTAAAGAAAATTTCTGAGGCAATAATCGTAGATTTTTAAAGAAAATTTCTAAGGCTATAATCGTGGATTTTTAAAGAAAATTTCTGAGGCTATAATCGTGGATTTTTAAAACAATTCCGAAGACATTTTCTGCGACAATAATCGTGGATTTTTAAAGAATATTTCTGGGACTATAATCGTGAATTTTTAAAGAATGTTTCTGGGGCTATAATCGTGGATTTTTAAAAAAGTATCTGAGGCAATAATCGTTTCTGAGGCAATAATCGTGGTTTTTTTTTTAAGAAAATGTCTCAGGCAGAAGTCTTGGATTTTTTAAGAAAATGTCTCAGGCAAAAGTCTTGGATTTTTTAAGAAAATGTCTCAGGCAAAAGTCTTGGATTTTTTAAGAAAATGTCTCAGGCAAAAGTCTTGGATTTTTTAATAAAATTTCTGAGGCTATAATCGTGGATTTTTAAAACAATTCCGAAGACATTTTCTGCGACAATAATCGAGGATTTTTGAGGAATATTTCTGGGACTATAATCGTGAATTTTTAAAAAAGTTTCTGAAGCAATAATCGTGGATTTTTTTAAGAAAATGTCTCAGGCAAAAGTCTTGGATTTTTTAAGAAAATGTCTCAGTCAAAAGTCTTGCATTTTTTAATAAAATTTCTGGGGCTATAATCGTGAATTTTTAAAAAAATTTCTGAAGCCATATTCGGGGATTTCAGGAGAATATTTTTGGGGCTATAATCGTGGATTTTTAAAGATAATTTCTGAGACAATAAACGTGGATTTTTAAAGATAATTTCTGAGACAATAAACGTGGATTTTTAAAGAACATTTCAGAGGCTATAATCGTGGAAGATTTATTAAAAATCAAGATTATTTGGTCTCTTGGTCTTTAGAATATATTTAAAATATCACGATTATAAATTAAATTAAAAATTCTAATAATAAAATAAGGTTGATATTGTTCAGAAAAATTCCCTGTCAGATTTCAGATTAATTTCTAAGGTTCTTTAACATTTCCTAAATTTGTCACATTTCCAAAAAAAAAAAAAAAACTTTGCTAAGCTTTCGAATGAATCTTTGTTTTGCTGGTCTTCAAATAATTCGAATTTTCCGTTTTATTTGTTCGCCTGCGCCCAAATGGTTTGTTTGTGTACTCTGATGGGGCAAATAGCGACCGCATCAACGCGTTTATTCAAATAAAGCAATTTTTCTCGTCGGCCTCTCTCTGGATGGCAATGGTAGAAATGGCCTCCATTAACCGCGCGAATGTTCGTTACACAAAACGGCCAAACAAAGACCCGTTCGACGGATTGTGGAAAATTGCATTGCCTATTTTGGGATACAAAAGCTGCTGCTGCCTTTGGCCAAAAATGAAATGGAATGGACTTTGTTTGTAGTTTATTTGTAGTATTACAAGCATTTATTTGGTAGCCTTTCCGAGGTGCACACACGCACCCACTCACAGAGAATATAAAAAAAAAAAACATCCATGGTTAAATAGAGCCATGGTTTGTTGTGTGTGGAGCTTGAATTGTTTGTTATACAACATGGCCGTGGTTTTGTTTCGTTTCGTTCCATATTGTTGTTGTAGTTATTTTGGGGTATCCGTTAGCCAAATCAATTCAATTGTTCAACATTTTGTTGATTTCAGTGTTTCAATCGCCAGCTTTCTCTGTTTCCCTGGGGAGGAAATTCAAACACAGAAAACTACATCTATTTCTTGCGCCATCATCCCGCATTTTTGCATTGCGTTTTGTGTTTTTTTTTTTTTTTTTTTTGAATATCCTGGAATCTAATTCAGTTTAGTTTTGGTAGTAAATTCCTATCCATGAACGAACGACGTACACCGAACACAAACCAAATTGAATCAAAGCGGGGAAAAAATCACTGGTTATCTATTACAATCGCTGATCTGACTCCAGGGTAAAATATAAGGGGTAGGAGGGGTTGTGCCGACCTTTAACTATTATCAGCACTAAGGCCACAAACATTTTTGAGCGCCATTTAGTATGGGTTTGGTGTCTCTTTTTGGATTTGCTTTTATATTTTCTGGAGCGGGTGGTGAGGACGATTTTGGGTAGTATGTAGTTTGTATTAATGTTCATTGTTTTCCTGAAGGTAGTCTTTGGTGTATTCCGTTAATGGGGGTAAAAGGGGTTTTTGGGGATGTCACTTTTTTGTGTGCTTGGGAGCTTCAAAACGAATATGTGATTTATCACTCTCACGCCTTGGGTTATTGAATTTGAAAGAATAATTTCTACGAAGTCTAGATAGAGGAATTGAAATTAATTGTGGGAGGGAAGTATGAGATAAAAGAAACAGAATCACAAAAACAGAAAACCACAGGAATATAGAGAACACACAGCATCAATTTTGCGCCTAGTTTTAGTCAAGAATAATAGCCTCAGAAAACTTATTTTTTAAAATCCACGACTATAGCCTCAGAAATTTTCTTTAAAAATCCACGATAATTGCCTCAGAAATTTTCTTCAAAAATCCACGAAATTTTCTTTAAAAGTCCACGATAAAAGCCTCATAAATTTTCTCTAAAAACCCACGATTCTAGTCTCAGAAATTTTCTTTAAAAATCCACGCTTATATCGTCAGAAATTTTTCATGAAAAATTTACGATTATAGCCTCATAAAATTTTTTCAGAATTTTCTTTAAAAATCCATGATTACAGCCTCAGAAAAAATTTTCAGAAATTTTCTTTAAAAATCCACGATTATAGACCCAGAAATTCTCTTTAAAAATCCACGATTATAGCCTCAGAATTTTCTGTAAAAATCCGTGATTATTGCCACAGAATTTTCTGTAAAAATCCACGATTATAGACCCAGAAATTCTCTTTAAAAATCCACGATTATAGCCTCAGAATTTTCTGTAAAAATCCGTGATTATTGCCACAGAATTTTCTGTAAAAATCCACGATTATAGCCTCCGAAATTTTATTTAAAAATCCATGATTATAGCCTCCGAAATTTTATTTAAAAATCCACGATTATAGCCTCCGAAATTTTATTTAAAAATCCACGATTATAGCCTCCGAAATTTTATTTAAAAATCCACTATTATAGCCTCCGAAATTTTATTTAAAAATCCACGATTATAGCCTCCGAAATTTTATTTAAAAATCCATGATTATAGCCTCCGAAATTTTATTTAAAAATCCACTATTATAGCCTCCGAAATTTTATTTAAAAATCCACGATTATAGCCTCCGAAATTTTATTTAAAAATCAACGATTATTGCTTCAGAAATTTTCTTTTAAAAACCCACGATTATTGCATCAGAAATTTTCTTTAAAAATCCGCGATTATTGCCTCAGAAATTTTCCTTAAAAATCCACGATTATTGCGTCAGAAATTTTCCTTAAAAATCCACGATTGTAGCTTTAGAAATTTTCTTTAAAAATCCACGATTATAACCTCAGAAATTTCCTTTAAAAATCCACGATTATAGCCTCAGAAATTTTCGTTAAAAGTCCACGATATAGCTCCACGATAATTGCCTCAGAAATTTCCTTTAAAAATCCACGATTATAGCCTCAGAAATTTTCTTTAAAAATTCACGATTATAGCCTCCGAAATTTTCTTTAAAAATCCACGATTATAGCCTCCGAAATTTTATTTAAAAATCCACTATTATAGCCTCCGAATTTTATTTAAAATCCACGATTATAGCCTCCGAAATTTTATTTAAAAATCCACGATTATAGCCTCCGAAATTTTATTTAAAAATCCACAATTATAGCCTCCGAAATTTTATTTAAAAATCCACGATTATAGCCTCCGAAATTTTATTAAAAAATCCACGATTCTAGCCCCAGAAATTTTGTTTAAAAATCCACGATTCTAGCCCCAGAAATTTTATTAAAAAATCCACGATTCTAGCCCCAGAAATTTTATTAAAAAATCCACGATTCTAGCCCCAGAAATTTTCTTTAAAAATCCACGATTCTATCTTCAGAAATTTTATTTAGGAATCCAGGATTATAGTCTTAGGAATTTTCTTTTAAAATCCACGATTATTGCCTCAGAAAATTTCTTTAAAAATCCACGATTATAGCCTCAGAAATGTTCTTTAAAAATCCACGATTATAGCCTCAGATTTTGTTGAGTCACGATTATAGCCTTGTGTTAAAAAATCCACGATTATAGCCAAAGAAATTTTCTTCAAAAAAAGCCTCAGAAATATTCTCTATCCGACTATGGCCTCAGAAATTTTCTTTAAAATCCAGAAATTTTCTTAATTTTCTTTTTAGGATATTTAGAAATCCCAGTAAATTTATTGCTACATCCAGAAGTTATTTTTGAAATTTTAAATAAAAAATCGCTCATAAATATTTACTTCCTCTATTCCAGGGAAAAGTTTCACCTTAACCATAACCGTTTCAACAAATCCGCCACACATTGCCACATACAACAAGGCCATTAAAGTGACTGTCGATGGACCCCGAGAACCACGCTCCAAAACCAGTAAGTATTTCCAAATAAATATGTATGCAGCAGAAGCAGCAGCAACACCATTTTACATTCATTCTCAAACACTCACATATTCACACTTTTACAACAATCCATATGAAGTTGTGTAAATTGTATAACAGACATTGTTAATAAATATGCATAGATGTATTTATTTATAACATGAGAGAAGGGAAGGAAGGGGGAGGAGGGTCAAGGAACAAAATCTCATAAATCCTTATACCAGAGACAAGAGAACAAGATTTAATTCTGATGGCAAAAAGAAACATTTAAATAAAATACACAATTCATTAGATTTTCTTTCTCTCGAAGAGATAACAAATACATGCATATTTCAATGCAGTGTTGGACAGTGGGTGAGATGAAGAGGTTTTTCTTTTGCCATATGATATAAAATATTTACAAAAGGAGCTGATGCTTTAGGACACTTACAAAAATGCTAAGAAAATGTTACGAATTCAAAAAAAAAAAATCCAGAAATAAAATTGAAATGTTTTAAATTACTAGTGAAATGACTCAAATTACATCTGTAAAAGGGATAGACCTTTTGGAAGAGTGCTTCTAGACCTTAGAAATCGAATATTTTGCTTTATTTGTATACTTTATTTTTGGGTACCTTTTAGTACTCAAAAGCATATTTTTTCATACATCGTACCTAATTTTCAAATTTTCAAGGTTTTCTATATCGCATAAGTTTTTTCCTTGCAGGAAAAATGTTGTATTTTACATTAAAAAATTTTTCAAATCTTTCAATTTGATTTTACCTGCGGAGGATATTAGTAAAACCATTGCAGAATATACCCACATCCCATTTTGCTGTACAAACGTCTCCATATGAAAACCCAAGAAACCAAAAGTAACCTCAATAGTAAATTTCGGAATTTCAGTTCTATCCTAGTAACACATTTAGTAATATTTAGGATGTATATCCAAAACAATACTCAACTCTCCATCCTAGACACCAACAATGATACAAAATTAGTACCATTTAGTACTTTTAATTGTAGTAGTATCAAATTTCCAGATTCTAGCTCTGTACATTTACTCAATACCAAATCAAGTAACTTTTTGTACTATATCCATAACCACCTCTATAACTCAATCCCTCTCCACCAAAATTAAGGATTTCGGCTCTTTAACTTTCCCTATTACCAAATTTAGTTCAATTTAGTAATTTTCGAAATACTACCTTCACTTCATAGCCTTCATAGCTGAACCACAGACCCCAATATTGACATCTATATCAAATTTCAAAATTTCAGCTCTATTGCTTCACACAATACCCAATTTTGTACCACTGAGTACTTTTCGTACAATTATATAATTCCAGCTCCGTCGGTTCATCACTATTCTAATTTGTACCAAATGTAGTACCATTTAGTACTCATAAGTATCAATTTACAAAGTTTACTACATACCCCAATCCTACACTTCTAAAGTAATTCCAATTTCAAATTTTAGGATTCCACCCAAAGCACATTTTAGTACATATAAGTACAAATTTCCAAAACTATCTACAAGTCCCAATCCTATACTCCGATAGTAATATTTTTTCCAATTTTCAGGACACCAGCTCTATTGCTTCACGCAAATCCAAATTATATCAAATTAAGTAGCATTTAGTAGTGTTAAGTAGAAATTTCCAAAAAATACCCCCATATCCCAATCCTAGTTCACAACATTAATCTTAATTCTTAATTTCAGAATTCCAGCTCAATAGGTTCAATAAAATCCAAATCGTACCAAAATTTCCAAAACTATATCCATATCCCAATCCTACACTCGGACAGAAATCTTATTTACAATTTTCAGGATATCATCTCTATTGCTTCTCTCAAATCCTAGTTGAGTATCATTTAGTACTTATAAGTACATAATTCCAAAGTTTCCTACATCCCCCAAAACTGCTCTCCCACAGTAATCCCTATTTCAAATTTTAGAATTCCACAACCCTGTTGGTTCGCCCAAATAGAAAGTGTACTTTATTTAGTACATATAAGTACAAATTTCCAAAATTAACTACACATCCCAATCCTTCACTCCGACCGTAATCTTATTTTCAATTTTCAGGTAACCAGCTCTATGGGTTCACACAAATTCAAAAAGTACCAAATTTTGCATTTAAGTACACCTTTTTCATGACTACCTACATCATACAGTCCAATAGAGATTTTTTTTTAAATTTTAGGATTCCAACTCTACCAGTTCTCCCAAAATTTAAATTGTACTAAATTTAGTACCACTTGATACACATAAGTACGAATTTCCAAAATTACCTACATTCCTCAGTCCTAGAATGCAATGGTAGTCTTATTTCTAAATTTCAAAATTCCAGCTCTATCGCTTCATCCATATCAAAATTGTACCAAATTTTGTGCCATTTGGTACACAAGTACTTAAGTACAACTTTCCATAACTGCCTACTTTATACAGTCCAATAGAACTCTTACTTTTAAATTTCAGGATTTCAACTTCACCGCTTCACCCTAAATTTAAATTGTACCAAATTTAGTACCTTTTAGTACAAATAAGTACGAAATTGTAAAGCTTCCTAGATACCCCAATCCTACGCTCCCACAGTAATCCTAATTTCAATTTATAGAAATCAATCAACCTGTTGGTTCGCCCAAATCCAAATTGTACCAAATTTGGTACCATTTAGTACACATGAGTAGGAATTTCCAAAACTACCTACATCATATAGTTCATTAGAAATCTTATTTCTAAATATCAGAATTCCAGCTCGAAAGCTTCACCCAAATCGAAATTGTACCAAATTTAGTACCAATTAGTACTTTAAAAACTTAAAGTGCACATTACGAAAATTTCCTCCATATCCCAATTCCACGCTCCGCCAGTAATGTTAATTTCAAATTTCAGGATTTCAGCTCCATCCGTCCCTTGACATTCAAATTGTACTAAATTACGTACCTTTTAGTACTTTTCGTGCATACTTCCACAACCACCTCTTCCTTACATCGATCTTACTCCTCAACCTTGGTTTCCATTCCAAATTTCAAGTTTTTAGCTCTAACCGTTGATACGAAACGGTACTGAATGCAGTACATTTTAGTACTTTTCGTACACTTATAGTGGGAATTTCCAAAAACCCTATGGTACATCCATCATTCACCCCAGTGATTCAGTGAACCTCATTCCAAATAGAGGAGTTCTAGCTCTACTGCTCCTCTACCATATTTAGCACCTTTTAATAATTTTCGTACGGTTCTAATACGAATGTCTAAAAACTCAGCCTTATCTGACCCCTTCACACCCAGATTGACTCTCACACAAAATGTCAAGATTCTAGTTAGGTTTATTAAAGATCGGATTACCAATACAAATGCTACCATATTTACCACCTTTTATTACTTTTCGTACGGTTCTAGTACGAATTTCCAAAAACTCAGCCCCTTCACACCCAGAGTGACCCTCACACAAAATTTCAAGATTCTAGTTAGGTTTATTAAAGATCGGATAACAAATACAAAGGCTACCATATTTACCACTTTTTAATACTTTTCGTACGGTTCTAGTACGAATTTCTAAAAACTCAGCTTTTTCTGACCCCTTCGGACCAAGAATGACCCATACCCTAAAATTTTAAGATTATAGTTATGGTTTTTAAAGATCAGATTACAAATACAAAGGACATTTAGGACCTTTTCATATTTTTCGTACCGTTCTAGTAAGGATTCCGAAAAACTTAGTCTTATCTGACCCGTTCGTACTAAGAGCGATCCTCACCCAAAATTTCACGATTCTAGTTGGGTTTTTTAAAGATCGCATTACAAATACCAATGGTTCCAAATTTAGTACCTTTTAAAACTTTTCGTACGGTTCTAGTACGAATTTCCAAAAACTTAGGCTTATCTGACCCAAGAGTGATCCTCACCTCAAATTTCAGGATTCTAATTAGGTTTATTAAAGGTCGGATTTATTTGGTTTTTTTTTTTTCAAGAAAAAATGGCTTTTAACTCGAAAACCTTTCTTTCCCAATTTTGTCCCACTGTTCTTCGGAGGGCAGACTTAAATCATCCCACCAAGAACGACTTATCTTCATCTCGTCTCTTCATTTCTAGTAATTTAAAAATCCAAAGATAGTTTATGACTCGAAAAGACAAACAAAACTTTATTCCCTGCATCTGTGTGTGTGTATATGTGGCTGGCTGCCACCACTAGCTACCAATCGAGATTCTGCTCTGCAGCTCCACATTGTCAGTGGTATTCACATAGAAAACAATTCATCTTTCAAAAGAATATTCATTAATGCTAAATAACATTACGGGCATGAATGAAGGCATGCAAAAAATGGCACAAACGGACAGGGTTACTTTTCCCACAAAAACAATGAAAGGAAAAGAAGAAGGACGAACGACAGACAGACGGACAGAGAATGGCATTGTGGCCGGGACAAGTTGGAAAAAGAGGACAGTTAACAATGCAAAAATACGACAGACTGGCAACCGGTAGCAGGACAAAACGTCCATTTTGTAGTTTGAAATATTTATAAAGATGCAAATATATTACATTTTGCATATGTTAAGCTTGTCTTGTGGAAGACACAATGACAACACACACACACACAAGAATGTTTAATGTGTGATACACACACACATACATAGATAGCCCCCCTTTTTTATTTGTCTTCTATAAAACTATTTACTGTTTCCTCTCTAAAAACAGAGGTTTATTCTGGCTTAATGAAAGGACTGCTTAAATGTTGGCTTTCAAAAGGATGACTCCTTTACCACTTCTGTCCTGCTACTGTTGCTAATGCTCTTCATTGTCCTTTGCTAGCAATTTCATTGTATTTTCCATTCATTTTACTTTGACTTTCCACAAAATGATTTATCTCGTTTAAGTTGTGTCCTTATTGTTGTTAGTCGTTTTTTGTTTATTATTTTAATTTTGAAAAGTTTTCTAAAGGAGGGGGAGATGATGAGGTCTTGAAAAAATGACAAGTGTGAGAGAGAAGAGAGAAATATTGAAGGTTTTTGAGACATAGAGACCTTAGGTATGTCTTCTCTCTTTAGAAGTCACTTAGAGGGCCTCATGCTTCTAAGAGTTTCACAGAAGGTTTCCTACCTGTTAAAAATTGTCCTCTCTACAAAAGACCGTCTGCGGATTTTCGGACTATAGAAAACCACAAAATTGTCTTCGGTCAATAGAAGACCCACATCCATCCGTAGAAGAACTCCTTGTCCATAAGATACCCTAAGAGAAGCTCCTAACAACAGGATACTATGAAAACCTTTTCAATACTTAGAAGTACCATTTAAGATCTCGTACCCCTGGAAGTCAAATTAAGGCCCTATTTTGACATAAAATATCTTTGGAAGTTCTTATCTCTTGGAAGATTGTTTTTTTTTATATAGAAGACCTCTCGAAGGTATTTTCTTTATAGAATATCGTCAGGAAATCTTCTTTCTATACTAGACCTTAAAAAGGTTTTCGGAAATCATCCGGGGTTCTCTTATCCGTTGAAGAGTAATCGTCGATGTTTTTCCCAAAGGAGAACTTTTAGATGCACATTTTCTTCTTTGAGAGCTCTTTAAAAAGTTTCCAGCCCATAAAAGACCTTCTCGAGCTAGAGAAAGCCATTAAATTACCTTCAGAAAAAAAACTCCATCCGTTTATAAAGAAATCCAAAAGGCCTTCTCTCTTTTGCAAGCCTTGTTCTCAATTGGGAAAACCTTTGTAAAGAGTTCTCCATTTAGAAGCAGTTTTGAACCGATATTCAAAAGTTTGCTCCCTAATAATGATCTTCTAAAGAACATATTTCTACATCTGAAGGACTTGAATGGAACTTACATCGCAGGAGACTTCTGGAAAGGTTCCTCTCTATTTCCTTTGTTTGGAAAACCTGTGGAAGGTATTGCTTGTATAGATGAAAAGACTTTTCTCTATAGAAGGCCTTTGGAAGGTCTTCTGTCAACTGAAGAAATTTGACATAAGTTCTGTCTATAGAAGACTTTTGCAAGGTCTTCTCTCAATATTAACTTTAGAGGACCTGCTTCTATAGAAAACATTTTGTATGTCTTCTCTAAATTGCAGGTCTTCACAGGCAATAGGCAAGGTCTTATCTATATGGACGACCTATAGAAAATACTTTTGGCAGGACCTCCTTTAAAAATGTTTCTCTTTAATAAAGACCTTTTCTATTGAAAAAATTTGGACCGACGTATTTTTTTCTATTGAAAAAATTTGGACCTGAGGTCCGACGAATTTTTTTCTATGGAAAAAAAGTTGGACCTGAGGTCCGACGAATTTTTTTCTATGGAAAAAAATTGGACCTGAGGTCCGACGATTTTTTTTTCTATGGAAAAAATTGGACCTGAGGTCCAACGATTTTTTTCTATGGAAAAAAATTGGACCTGAGGTCCGACGATTTTTTTTTTTCTATGGAAAAAAATTCGACCTGAGGTTCGACGATTCTTTTTCTATTGAAAAAATAGCACATGACGTCCGACGATTTTTTTCTATTGAAAAAAAATGCAACTGACGTACGAAGAATTTTTTTCTTTTGAAAAAATTGGACTTGAGGTCCGACAATTTTTATGCCTCTCAATAGAATACATTTTGAAGTCTTCCATATTTTTATATTTCAAAAAAAATTCCCCCACCCATCAAAAACCCACTCACAAACATACACACACACACACACACACCTATACATACTCATTGCAACTTAATTAAGGACAGCCAATAAAAAAAGCATTCAAAACACAGTGTTATCTATTTTAGGACAACAGCAACAGTTCCATTTTGCCTTTGGCCAAAGACCGTTTCATTTCTCAACGGATCCACTGTCTGGTTTTCGTATGCCACCAATAGGCAATTGTCAAAGTAAGTAGCAAATATTACAACAACTACAAAAAAAACGCTCTTAAATTTTATAATTAACAACATCACTAAAGTCTAGAAAAACCCGATATTAGCCTTTCGGTAAAAAATCGAATAAATCTCATAACATTTAATTGCATGGATGACTTTCAACGGCACTCTCTACTCTATTTTTAATGTCGCTTTTTATACATTTTTATATATATTAATATTATTATTATTAACAAATTGATTTAAATGCTGGCTAAGTGCATGTGTGTAATTTAGTAGAGGACCATTTTTAATATAATGTAAAACAACAACAAAGAACAAGTGCAGAACAAAAAAAACAGCTGCAGAAGTTAAATCTGGACAAAAATGCCATATCAAATACCACTGTCAGACACCACAAATCGAACCTCAGAAAGCCGCATAAAATCCACACAAAAACGATTAGTTTGTCGGTTTTTTTAGGTGGCAGTAGGATGTTTTTTTTTTTTCGTTTGCTCTTTTTTTGCTTTGAAATTTCATTGAAAAAAGTTAATAACGTTGTCGGGATAGGTGGAGAGACCAGTGTCCGATTGGGTGTCTATGGGTGTGTGTGTGTGGTGCAGTATATTTATTCTTATTTATGTGTGTTTTATATTTTATTTTTTTATTATTATTTTGAGGTTTTTAAAATGTATTTATTAGTTTTGTACAAAGATGTCAAACGATAGAAGTTATGGAAAGTATAAAAGAGAGAGAGAGAGAGAGAGAGAGAGAGAGTGAGGCGAGAGTATAAAGTTCAGTAATATTCCTGGCAATAAAAGAAATCAACCTACAAAACTGTTTGAAGAGTAAAATAATAAAAGAATTTGAAGCGAATCGGGAAAAAGTGCAAACATTTTTCAGAAATAAACAACATTTTTTATTTACAAAAATTGATGTGATTTTTTTCAGAGACTCACAATAAAATTTGATCTAGAATAATTAGGACTTTAACACTTACTCCAAACAATGAAGTACAAAAGGGAGATTTATAAATGACAGAAAAAGTCGTCTATGCCTTTCTACACATGATCTTAACTGGTACTGTTTCAAAAGAAGATATTAAACAGTATTCTTTAATTAAAACAACTTCTATGCCTAGGAGACCTATTAAGAAAGAGGCATTCTATACCCTAACAAAATTTTCTCTCAATATAAAAAGGATTTCTTCCTCCAAATGACCTAACTGGACTTTTTGAATATCTAACCATTTTTTCTCCTATAGAAAAAATGAGACTTTGGTATTTTTTCAACAGAAAAACTCGGGTGTGAGTTCCCATACATTTTTTTCTGTAGACAAAAATGGTACATTAGGTTCGAATTATATTTTTTTAAACAATTTTTATGCCTAACAACTTTTATTCTACAGAAAAAATAGTTTTATAATCCATTGATTAGGGATTTGGGATTTGGAAGTCCAATTCCTCATCACGCATAGATTCAAAGCTAGCGTTAAACTTTACGGGAGTATCCAAAGCTCTAATAAACATATCAATTGTCATCAAGGGCAAATTCTACTTCGTACAATATACGAAGGAACCAATACGAAAGGATTTTTTTCTGAGTTCGTTAATTCTTCTCTACACAAAAAGATCGCATGTGAGTTCCTATAAAATTTTTATAGAAACCCCATAATTTTTTTCTTTAATTTCCCTAAAAAGATCTGGTGAATTTCGTTCTATAAAAAATGGGTGTTTAGAAAAAATTTCTTTATAGAAAAAAAATGGGCTTTAAGATTTTAATTCTGATTGGAAAGGTATTAAATTAATTGTAAAAAAAAAAATTTAAAAAGTATCAGTCGGTTTTGCCGACAGATGTATACCCTCAGCCAATGTTTGATTATTTAAATATATTTTGTCTTATGTTATGATTATTCAAATTGTTAACCATCTATGAAAGTACTTTCCGATGGAATGCGCCAATATTGTCCACTTGTAATCGATCCTAAATAAATATGATATAAATATTACAAAGTGCCAGGTTTGGACTACATTGGTTACTCCCTCCACCTTATATGAGATATGTGATAATTTTTAGAAAAAAACGTAATGAGCCAGATATAGTCGACCGAAGTCTTCCATTTTTATTCTCCATCTCATATAGATAAAAATATTGTCATGGGCAAAATTACAAGAAAAACGAACATTTATATGCCATTTTACGCGAAATGATAAATTTCGTTTTCATCTCAGGTTTCTGGTTGAGAGAAATATTTAGATATAGCAGGTCGTAAAGAATCGCCGACTTGTTTCGTTATGACAAGAAAAAGTATGGAAAATTATGACCCTTAGTTGGTGAGATACCAGAAGAAATGGTCCGATCTCTACCATCTTTACAAAATATCCTGTGTTAATGATGTACTAAGTCTTACTGGAATCGAATGTTAATTTCCTGTTTTAAGAGCTTCGTGGATAATCAAAATTTTGACTCTCTGTGGGGGAGGTACCAGAGGGAGTGAACGGATATATCCCATCTATATGGAAGATCTTGTATTAGTAGAAATGATGGAATGTGTGAAATATGAAAAGAAACGGGTGCATATTTCGGATATAATAATAGTTTTGGTTATTCAAAACATTGACCTTTTGTGAGGGAGGTACCAGAAAGAACGGTCCGATATCTACCAGCTTTATAACACATCATGTGTTGATAGAAATATTGAGTTGTATTGGATGTGGAATCGGATGTTAATTTCACGTTCTATTAGCTTCATGAATATTCAAAATTTTGACCCACTGTTGGGGAGGTATTACAAGTCGTGGGCCATTAAATTCCGTCTTCACACCAGACCTTGTGTTAATCACAATACTGTGTGAAATATGAAGCTTAACGGAATCTTACTTCATATTTTACAGGGCGAGATAAAACAACTGCAACAAAGTCAAACGCCATAATTTTTACATGTTTTAAATTTTATTGAATGAAATCAAAAAGTGTCGGAAATAGCAGCAAATTTTACCTATGGCACAAATTATGGCCTGCAAACGGCCAATGAAACCGTCACACGCTGCCCGAATGTTGCTCTGCGGTATTTTGGCCCATTCCCGTCAAAGCGCTTGCTTGAGGTGATCGACACTTTGGTAGTTTTTAGTGCCAACCTTGCTTTCCAAAATACTCTAGACACAATAGTCCAACGGATTGGTATCCGGAGATTTTGGTGGCCATCGAAATGAAGCGAGGAACCTCATTTTGTAACCGTTCTTGGGTGGCGAGTGCTGAGTGCGATGGTGCTAGTCCTGTTGGAATGTCCAAGATAGTCACTTGTGGTTTTCCAGCCAAATATAAAGAAATCACACTATCACGCCTGAATTCCATAACGAATAACTTTTTCTTTTGGAAAATTCCCACCAAAATGCTTTGGTACGCTTGTAAACAATATAATGAGCTGTCACTGGAATAATTTTAACAGCTGTCGGACGAGTGGCTTTGAAATGACAGCAGTCTGAAGTTGGTTGCAGTCTTTCATCTCACCCTGTATTTTCCTCTAATTTGATGTAAATAATACATAAGTGATGCTACATTTGTCCGATTTAGTTGATTTATCCGATTTTATATAAAAGTATTTTGAAAGTCTCAACATGGCAATGATATGTGGTTGGACTCGGTCAAGTTTAATGGAAATCGATTAAGATATAGTCGTCATAAGTTATTAAAAAATGAGTCTACGTTCTGCTCGGGACAGCATTTAACAAGTTTTGCAAGGAAAATTTTCCATTTACTGAATATTTGCTGGATGAATGAAAATGTTGACTAAAATGTATCGGCAACCAGGAGATGCGTATGTTATGCCGTATGGTGAACCTACACTGGGCTCATTTCGGGTTCCAGCCATCAATTAAAGCTAATTCAGTTGGATGCTATTACTGAAGCTCTTAAAATGCAGAAAAAAATATCAACCTAACCCATCCACTTATTGTTCGCTTCCATCCGCTGAAAACTCAAAATTGCAAACTCATGCCGATTTTTTTGACTTAAAGGGTGGGTTTGGGCAAAAGAAAGGACCGCTTAATATACCCCTCTATTTTAGAATGAAAAGTTTTAAAAACTAAGATAGAGAGACAGTTCGTTCATAGAGTAGGTAATAGCAAGTATGGGTGAGCTTTTGAAAAAAGTATCTATTTTTTAGAAAAAAAGTATATATTTTTTAGATGTCAGATTTTAGCAGATTTATTTAAGGCAAGGAAATAGTACTAACATACTTCAATTGCCCTCAGAGAAAATCTCGAAGGCGAAATTTTGTTTGTAAATTTTCAAATCTCTCTTGCATAAGAATAATTTCTCACGGCTTGCTTAGTATTTGTGGGAATCAAGCGGACAGCTAGGACAAAAAAGGCTCAAATCACGCGGCCAAAAATGTTTTCAAGAAAAAGCAAATCTTGTTAGAATTTTGTCGTAATTATTTAATTTTCGTTTTCATTTCAAAAATTAAATTTCTCTCAATCATTGAACCCTACCACTAGCTTAAAACATTTTATTTTATTTATGTTAATAATTTATTCATAAATAACCTTCCAGCATTTATTTATTTATTTTTCGACGACAAGAAAAAAATTCGCGATATTCGTTATTGTGTTTGCGAACTGTTCTAGATGGTTGTTGGTCTGCTGATTGCTGTTCTGAAATGTTTTTATGTCGCCAAAATGAGCAACTGCAACAATAATAACAAAAACAACAACATGGTAGTAATAAATTAAGTTATATGCGTGTTTTTTTCCGGCAAAAGGTCATTAAATTAATGTCATAAACATCAGTGGTAGAAAATTTATTAAATATGGTGCATCGTTATAATCATCATTGGCAGTGCCATCAGATAAGGGAATACAATTTTTTTTGGATAATTATGAAATATAAATGATATATGTAGATAAATGAGGAAATGTTGGCAATAGGGGAGAAAGGGACAGATCTATGAATTTATGAAGTTTTTTTAATTGGAGGGAAAAAAATTAAAGGGGGAAATTTTTTGGAAAATATCAAATGAGTGGTAGATTATT